AAATAGAGAGAAATCTGAACCAATGTGAAGGACAAAGACTGCCTTATTCCTCTATGTAGTCACCATTTCGGTCGATGCACTTTCGCAGACGCTGCAAGGCAATTTACAATGCCCATGCAAGCCAGTTCGCAGCAATCTACACTTACAGACACGCATGCGCGCCCTGACACCACACGTGTCTCGAAGATAAAAAACACCTATCTGAACATTGCTGGAAACCTATTCTCGGCTTAGCAGCTACGCGCAAAGGAACTTTTGTGATTACTAATGCTGTTATTGGCTTTCTAGGAAGAAGCGGTCACGTGGACGTCTTTCTTTACGTTGGCCAGTCTATGCCACACAGAAGAGGGGGGAGAAGAAAAAGAAAAACGTGTATAATCGTGCATCTCGAGATGGCAGTACGCTGAACAACTAAGGCTGAAAACCGTGAGCATGGAAAAGCTTCACCAGGAGGTCTTTCAGGGCGTGACGAGCTTTTTGAAAACGGTCTTTTGCATGATATAGGGGCAGATGCGGGGAACCACAGAACCATGTTCAATTTTTCCTGAACGGCCCTCTGAATACCAGAAAAGGAGGTCCCTAGTTCGATTCCTCGTGGTAACAAATTTTTGCATTTCGAGTTGACGTGCCAAAATTCGCGCAAAATGGAGTTAGAACCAACCAGAACAATCAGAACTCCATTTTGCGCGAATTTTGGAACGTCAACTCGAAATGCAAAAATTTGTCACCAAGAGGAATCGAACTAGGGACCCCTTTTCTGGTATTCAGAGGGCCGTTCAGGAAAAATTAAACATGGTTCTGTGGTCCCGCATCTGCCCCTATATCATGCAAAAGACCGTTTTCAAAAAGCTCGTCACGCCCTGAAAGACCTTCCTGGTAAGCTTTTGGATAGTCGCTTTTCTAGTCACGTGCAAGCATTGGAATTCCACGAATGCGAACTTGAAGAAAATGAAAATGGCATTAAGAGAAAGTAATTGACACCTTACTTAAAAGCATCAGCTCACGATAAAAAGCAACCCATTTCATTTAACTAGTATGATGTCACCACGAAAGAAGGAAACCATGAGAAACGGCCCAGAACCCGAGAAATGGTACCCCTTCCTTGCCCCTTGCCCGTTGATTCGAGCATTGATGCGACTCTCATCGCTGTGCCCTCTTCAACACTACGCTCTCTCAGCTATCTAATCACTCGCCACGTATTGAACTACGGCGAGTGATCGATGGATCGGTGGCGCGATCGCCGGACCTGCCAGCTTTGAGGCATGCATAGCCTTGCCCAGATCAAAATTCCATCTGTTGCACTTCAGTTTGCACCCTCAGATGAGTCGGGCGTCCTTTAAACCTAGGTCAGTTAATCCTTTCTTCGTACCTCCACTTCTATATCGTGAATTCCCTCCTTTAAACGATTACATAGTTACGCTATTCGAGGTTGCTATACCATTGTGGACCGCCTGGCCGTGGCCGGAATACACATATACGCTGTTCTGCAATGGCGCTACATACATACGTAATGACGTAAAAAGAAGAAGTCCTCTCCCCTTCCTCCTCCTTCCCCAAAGCACACGGAGCTTATATGACTTTAACAATGCAAATATGTACGCTATAGCATTTGCGTAAATGCTCTGAACGAAAAGACAATTACTTGAAAAACAGTCTTCATTCTTTGAATTGTTGTGCATACTACACACTATATACTACATAAAATAGATGGCTCTGCTATATCTAAACATATAAGAAGTCCCACTTTACGATCCCCAAAACCCCAAAATTGCAATTTTACACGTATCCACCTCATCTTGACTATGAAGACTGCGGCATCGACCGGAGTAGTGACATAAAATTTTGAAGATCGATCCCCTGCCGGGACTGCTGCACAGGCCCCAGAGTGCTGCCGTCAGTGGAAGTTTTCAAAACATTGTATGAAACTAAAATAAAAATTAAACTCAAAAAATCAAAAAGAATTGAAATAAAAATTCTGAATATCCCCTCCTCCCACTGACAGAAGCAGCCCTCTTTTACTGCCCTCGTCTTCGGTATACGACGTCGTCTGCCATCACCACGAGCCCAAGGGGCCCACCGCAATTGCATCAGCTTGAAATTGCCACATGATTCCTTCAATAGGCAGGTTAACTAATGAATAGCTTCCGCATTCCGACCAGCATTTCAGCCAATGACGTGATCCTCCATGGTTCGTCTCGAACTGAGCATCATATTTCCGCGAAAGATCTTCCAATATGTTCTGCGTAGAAGGCTGCTATGAGGTTTTAAAAAAATTGGAGTGTGCTCTTCAGCTTCCAGTTAGGAGTGTCCTTTTTTTAATTCAGCGGTGCATGTAATTAATTTCGTTCTAAGTGTTGACGGAGAATGACTTTTTGCGCCTTTCGTATAAAAAAGTTTATTTTGTTTTGCTCACTGTTATTTTTGCAACAGTCCGGGGCCTGAACTGAAGGTTCTACTGTGCACGCTTGGCATTTAAAAGTATAATTTTTCGTATTCGAAAAGCATTTTGAGTAACGGAACAAACAAAGGTCGACCACCACTGAAGGTGCAGCCCTTTTGCGGGTGTGCTGATCCCACTCATGTTATCGGGACAGCCGCCTTTGATGTGCGAGAAACAGGAATTTCATTCGGCAACATTGTCACCTTCATTT